CCTTGTTGTCACTTTAAAGTCAACATGTCCCAAACTAATTTTCTTCTCCCAGTCTTAATTTCTTTATTTCTGTTGATGACACCATTGTCCTCCAAATCATTCAGGTTCCGCACCTCGGAGTCACCTTGGCCGCTTGTCTCTCCAGCACAGTACTGTGGAAAGAATCCTGGCTGTGTAGTCATAGCACCTGGACTCAAACCCTTGCCCCTGCCCTCCAGCCCTTGCACGACACTGTGCAAGTCACTGAACCTCCACTGGTCTCAGTATTCTCCTATGTAAAATGAGAGGCTGATCTAGATGACCTCAGAGGTCCCTTCCAGTTCTACATACAGGGGCGTCCTGGCACCAAGCTGTGAGGGCCAATTGTCACGTTTTTCTCGTGAGCTATCAGGGCTTGATTTATTGTTCTGTTTGTCTACCAGGGATGGGGAGTCTGAGGCCTTGAGGCCACATGTGGCCTTACAGGTCTCCAAGCGTGGCCCTCTGACTGAATCCAAACTTCACAGAACAAGATTTGTTCTGGTCTAGACTTTAAAAAGTGATGGAGAAAACGCTATTAAATCATATTAAACTTAAAAGTGCGTCGTGTTTTCAGGGAGCTGGCTGTTAAACACCAGCATCTCATTGTCTATATCAATGACCTAATGGTCCTTCAATGCCCCCATACCATCTGATCAGCCACCAAATCCTGCTGCTTCTACCTCTTCTGTATCTCTAATATGTGTTCAGGCCTTCATTATCACGCTTGGACTACTGCAAAAGCTTTCTTACTTGTATCCTTGCTTCTAGTCTTTCTCTTCTCTGTTCCATTCTTCACCGAGCTGTCAGACGAATCTTCCTAATGCACATCTGACCACATGACTTCTTTACTCAAAAAAAACCCCAAAAACCCAAAAGCCAAACTTCTGTTGGTCCCCTTCTTTCTACCAATTACACACCCTGGCATTCAAGGTCTTCTAGGCTTCCTGGATAATAGTTCCTAATTACTAACTGTTACTGAAGATCCCAAGAGCCCTGGGAATGGCTGTGCTATCTAGACCACTGGCCCTACTTATCTGGATCCTGTAGCCATCATGAAAGAGAAATGACGGAGACTATCATCTCAACCAATGCCAACACCAACAGCTGGGCAACTAGCACTGAAGGGCAGGTAAGCCCAGGAGCCCTAAGAACAACAATGGGCCCAGACTCCCAGTTCTGCTCTGGTGGCATTCGCTGAGAGGGGCAGCCTTTGTGGAGAAAGGACCAGTCATCTCTGACATCATCATCACCACCTACAGATCTACTGCCACAGACAGGTCAGGTAATATAGTTTACTATTATCTCTATTCAAGCAGCAAGATACCCTGTGAGAGAGACAGGAGGCAGATGTGCTGGGCAGGCCAAATCACACAGAACACAATCTGTTCTTTGATTCTGATGGAGAAGGCACAGGACCCTGTGCCCTAGAACACCCGAAACCTGCAGTCTCTCCACCTACAATCCCTGATTCAAGCTTACTTCCTTTCATTTACTCAATACTCCAGCTAAACCAAACTATTCATAACTCTCTTGTCTGGACTTCTGAACTTTTGTGAACTCCCTTCATATCTTTGCCTACTAAAATACTTTGGACTTCAAGGCACAGACCAACTGTCACCTCCTCCATGAAGACTTCCCTGATCTTCTCTCCCTGATCCTTTTCTTCTATTGTCACCTTTTTGGAAATCTATGCATGTATAACACAATACAATACCTATGTGTATGTGTATCTGTATGTGTATATATATATATATGTATATATACACACACACACGAAGCATATATATGTATAACCCAATCATTTTCATTGTAGGTACTTGTGTGACTTCAGTGTATATACTTCAATTAGATTTGGGGACAGGATTGTGTTTTATACCATCTTTTTCTCTCCAGTGCCCTGTACAGAAAAGACAGATCACACCGGGTAGAGTGGTCTAGGATGGCTTCATCCTAGGAGATGGGTCAAGTTAGATATTCTGGGTGGTAGAGGGAATCCTAGGAGTGCGTAGAACATAATGTACATATTATTATGTAAACAGTGAGTAGACCCTCTTAGAGCAGACTGTTTATATTTGGGAGTTGGGGGATCAAAGGTTGGAAAGAAAGACTTGGGCCAGATGTGTGTGTATGTCTGTGTGTGTGTGTGTGTGTGTGTGTGTGTGTGTGCACGCGCGTGTGTGCACATGTATATATGGGTACAGATTAATGAGAAATTCATTGAATGCATACACATTTATCACTGGCCTAGGTACCTGAGGAATTCAGAGGAATATAAGCAATATTTATATTCTATGACCATCATGAATTTTAAAAATTGCTATGTAAAGGGGACTTGAGAACAAAATAAGGTGATTTGGCGAATATTACTAAATAACAGATATTGAGTATGAGATATTTTGCAATAATAATGATAACAAAATGCTCAGTGCACTTTCTCTGGCTGTCCCTCATTCCCGGAATGCTCTTCATCCTCCGCTCTGCCTATTGACTGTCCTAGCTTCCTCTGAGTTCCAAGTGAAATCTCTTCTTTTACTGGAAGCCTTCCCCACCACAGTAGAGCCTTCCCTCTTTTAATTATTTCCTATTTATCCTTACATAGTTTACTTTGTAAATATTTGTTTACATGTTGTCTTTCCTATTAGATTGTAAGCTCCCTGAGGACTCCTTGTCTCTTTTTGTATCCCTAGCACTTAGTACAGTGCCTGGCACATAACAGGTGCTTAATAAATATTACTGACTGATACCGTGCTTTAAAGTTTATAAATCAATTTATATACATTATCTCATTTGAATTTCCCAACACTGATGTGGTGAAGTATAAGTCTTATTAGCCCCATTTTACACAGGGGAAATTGAGGCTTAGATTAATTTACTTGCCCAAGGTCATACAACTATTAAATTCCAAGAGGCAGAATTCAAAGCCAAGTTTTCTGGACTTAAATACAAGTACTTTATCCACTCCATTATTCTTTATCCACTACCTCCTTAGAGTAGAAATAATATTAGTTTAAGTAATGGGGTTAATAAGTTAACATAATAATAAAAAATTACCAAACAAGACAATACCTAAACTTCTCTTTCTTAATAGAGTATATCTGAGATTAGGAAACTATTATAAAATGCTACTGCATTTTACTTCCCAGAGTTTCAGATAAATATGATCTTTATTTGATTATAGCCCTTAAGCATTTAATAAGCATGGGGATCCATCATCTGCCTAGAGGGAGGAAAAAAAAAACCCTGCCAGGCTCAACTTTACTAAGTCCTGTAACACAAAAGGAAAAAACAGAAATACAAACACAGCTGCCACTTAAAAAAAAAAAGTCTACAGGGATTTAAAAAAAATCAAATGTCTATTAAATAACAGAACTACTGAGAACATTATTCAAATACACGTCCAAATCACTTTTACCTATAGTTGACTTAATTTCCAACATCTGACTTCATCATTTAAAGCATAGAATTATATAACATTGATTACTATTTTAACATTAACATTAGCACTATTTTCATTATTTAAAAATGATTAATTCTTTCTTTTTTAAGAGAAACTTTAAGTTGTCTGTGATAATCACATAACAGTCATATGTCAGCCTTTGCTTTATTCTCATAATCCCAAAGCAAAAACACATATTAGTCCCAAGACAAATATGACCCAGCTGCACCAGCCAACTAGTGATTCTTTGTACACAGCTTTCCCCCTCTTGTCTCTGTGTCTTTGTACCAGCTAAAATACTCTGTCTGCTTTCTCAAGTTCACCTCTTTGCTTTCCTGGTTTCTTTTAAGACAGATCAAACCCCACCTTCGGCAGGAGACCTTTTCCATCTTTTCTCCCACCACCCTTTCCCTAACAGCTCTTAGTGTCTTCCCATTGGAGATTCCCTTCTATCCACTCTCTATACATCTTCTCTTTACTTAGTAGTTTACACATCACCTCTCGCAGTAGAAGAAAAGCTCTTTGTGGGCTTTGAGATGGTTTTTATTTTTCTTTGTATGCTCAGTTGTACTGCCTGGCACAGAGTAAGTAAGGGCTTAATAAGTGCCTGTTGATTAACTACAGCTAAATAGAACTGAATAATCACACATGCAAATATTAATCACCAATTTTAAATCTCAGGAAAAGTTGGACAGAAAGTCTTTCAATTTCTTAGAAAAAGACTACCAAATTTTTCTCATGAAATGAAATATTATGGCAACTGGAAATTAGAAGTCTTAATAATGTGAAAAAAATTAAAAACCAGAAAATATTTAGGAAAATAAGAGGTACCAACTCACGGAACCTAGCATTTTACAAATAATGTAATGTTAAGGTCAAGGAATTCTACAAAAAGAATTCCAGATGTCAAAATAAATGGGAAAAAGATGACTTGAACTAACTATCCACCCCCACATGTATATCAATTTTCTATTCTTCCTTCTTTATTATATTCCATACTGCACACATTTAAAAATAAAATAAATGGATACTGGTAACATGTAGAGCCAATGAAGACACATAAGATACTACATATTGTGAAAAATAACTACAATTTTATGGTAAAGTAATACAAGTATATGATATTATTATTACTATTACTTAAAATAAACACATAAAAGGAATGAAAAATCATGTTTACTTTTAAATTAGCCAATCAGTGGAAATAATGATGGAAACATATAAAACAATAGGATTATATTTTAAGTGTAAATGGTTTGCAAGAGAATTTGTATTTCCCCTGCACAAAATGTTTTAAATATCTGAAATGCATTCATATTTTGGCATATTAATTAAAGCAAGTAATTGGGAAAATGATGATAAGGTATTATTCAACTACTTACTGTTGGGGAAATGGAAAAAAATGTAGTTCAGGGGAAAAATGATTCACTTTCTTAAAAGTGATGAAAAACTTGGTTTAAAGGAGGGAAAAGGAGTTTTTCTACAGTGAGAGCATATAGAAAATGTCATTTGTAGTTTTGGACCAATTTTTGAACTGGCTTACCATTTGCAGTGTGCTTGATGGTATTCGTGTAGGTTTTCCTACTGGGCTGAAACCTCCTGTGAAAAAACAAGACTGTGAATTTTTGCTTATTATTCTTAACCACTAATAGCTATTTTATTTTGAAAACATTATGTTAGCCAGACATACCTCACAAAGCTCTCATGAAAAAGAACTCGTGCAATAGCACCTTTGAAAGCTTTGGTCATGGATCCTTTAGTCAGTAACAGTCAGAGGGTTTATCTAACTAAAGATCTGACACCAGGTTATAGCTAATCCAATGCTTCCATTCAAATGGTTTGGAGCAATAGCTTAAACACTGTTCACATGCTGTCTTATGCTTAAAACTGACACTATTATCTCAGCTTAGTTGTCTTTCTTTTCATGGAACGGTTGAAATTCTGACTTGAGGACACAAAGTTTTCAGGCAGAAATGATCACAAAATGTGTGAAAGGAATTACTTCCTTATTTTATCAAAAAGAATAAGTATATCTATTCAGTATTCCTCTTTGATCATCAGACTTCCTACCACAATACATCTTGCTGTTTATTTTATTCAATCACCATGGAGTGTTTTTAGAAAAATAAGGACTTTTAATTCTTTCCTTTAGAAATGATTACATTGATGGCTAAACTCTGGAAAATTCTTTCATCATCTGTGGATTTATCTTTTTTTTTTTTAGGTTCATGATAGCTTTTATCACATTTCTTTTTAACAAGGGACTATTTAAAAATAGAACAAGTCTCTTATCTGTATGGATTTGGGTTGAAAGTTTAGTTCAAGTTAAGGGTGAAAATGAGATCTCAGGATCATATTTTGCTCTTCAGTCTCTGCCCATCAATAGACCCACATCTGATATATGAGTCAGTGGTCTGTTAACATAAGGCCCATGACTTCAATAACAAAGGGTGTAAGTGAAAAAATAAAAGACTGTTAAAATGTCATATTGATTTCAAAAGTAAAATACTATTCTTAATAATATTATATTATAATACAAACATAAAATATAAAATATAGTTCTTTACCTTAAAATAAAATATTGTAAAATATAGTTCTTCACCTTAAAAACATATAACTCACTTAAATATTAAAGATTTTCTTTAAATGTGCTAATTAATATTCAAAAGAAACATGTTACTTTTATTCATGCAATTGATCTGACTTTTGATTAGCCTAATAATAGTCTTTTATTATATACAGAAATGGAGAGGGGGAAGAAGGAGAAGGAATAGTAGAAGGACAAGGAAAGTGTACCTTAGGAGGGTAACCAGGATACCAAGATGCTGGGCAGAATTAAGAACATGTAATATAATGAACAATTGAGAGAACTGGGGATGCTAAACTAGGATATTCCAGAGACACCTGAAACTCAACATGTCCAAAATAGAAATCATTACCTCTCCCATCTTTCCTATTTTTCTTAAAGGCATTAGGCTTGTAACATCAAATTTTAGTTGAATCTTCACTGACATGTCCATTTAGATCTATTGACACTGGTCTCAGGCTGCATGAACAGCTCTAGCTCTAGGCATTTTCTCTGACTGTCCCCCATGCCCACAACACTCTCTCTCTTCTGCTCCAACTACTGACCTCTCTGTCTTCCTTTAAGTCCCAACCAAAATCCCATTTTCCACAGGAAGCCTTCCCCAACCTCTTTTAATTCTAGTGCTTTCTCTCTTTTAATTACTTCCTATTTATCCTGTATATAGCCTGCTTGGCATATATTTGCATGCTGTCTCCCTCATTAGATTGTAAGCTCCTTGGGGGCAGAGTTTGTCTTTTGCTTCTTTTTGTATCCTCAGCACTTAGCACAGTGCTTGTCACACAGTAGGCACTTAATGTTTATTGAATGAATGAAAATAATAAAAATAACAGTACTTTAAGCCTTTCAAGAGATACATGCTATACTACAGTAGTATAAATTTTCCTTAAGGGCTTCAATTAATTTAACTTGATACTGTAGCAAAACCTGCAATATCGCAGTCTCCAAAGAATCAAAGTTATGGGTGATTCTAAAGTTAGTGGAGAAATACATGCTGGCAGGGCAGCTAGGTGGCGCAGTGGATAGAGCACCGGCTCTGGAGTCAGGAGGACCTGAGTTCAAATCCAGCCTCAGACATATAACACTTACTAGCTGTGTGACCCTGGGCAAGTCACTTAACCCCACTGCCTAGCAAAAAAAAAAAAAAGAAAAAAAAAAGAAAAGAAAGGAAATTCATGCTGGGCAGAAGCAAAATATAATACATTTCCAATGATGACCTATATGCAAGAACTGGTATAAAGGGCAGGCAGCATTTGAGAGATGTAATATTAGAAACAGAGGTAATAGCAAATAATGAGAGCACAATTGAATAATCTGAGTGCTACACTGATACCTATGAAATGTAAAAAAACAGAGAGGAAGGCCTCTATGGAGTTTCTATGGAGAGACAAGATTAAGAATCACACAGCATGAGAAGGCATGAATGGGTTAAAATCTTGCTGATGGAGGGTATGTCCATATCGATGAGATCTCAGATCTCAGTAGAATTAAAGAAATTGTTCTGCTTAACCTACAGGTCTGTCATAGGTTAAACCTACACACACACACACACACACACACACACACACACACACACACACACATACACACACACACACACATTTCTAGTATACTAATTGAAAGGACAATTTGCATATTTGGCTTTTTAAATTTAATTTTAAAAATCATTAAGCATCTTAACCATGTAAGACACTGTATAATATGTTTATATATATGTATGTAAATAATTAGGCAAATGTAAATAATTACATACATATACATACATAATCTCCTCTACACATGTGTGCATATATTTGTATATAAACACATACATAAATATATACATCTACATATATATATATAAAAGAGAGAGAGAAAGGGAGGGGAGGGAGGGAGGAAGGAAGAGTAAAAGAAGGAGGGAGGGGGAGAAAAAGGGAGAGAGGGAGGGAAGAAGGGGAAGAGAGAGAGAGAAAATGAAAGAAAGGAAGGAAGGAAGGAACAGAAGTCTAGGAAAAGTAGGAAAGGTCAGGTTAGAGAGTTTTAAATGCCAAAGAAAGAAAATTATATTTGATCCTGAGAACAATAGGGAGCCATTGAAATTCATTGAAGGAGTGTGGGGTGTCAGCTCTATACTAGTCTGGAGAGATTACCTTCGTGGAGTTGGGAAATACTTGAAGCATGCAGAGCACTTTGAATGTTATTGGAATAGTCCACTCAAGAGATAAAGAGGAACTGACCTAGGTTTGTGGCTACATGAGTAAGGAGAAGGAGAGGCATAGGAGAGATGTCAAAGTAGAACCAATACAGTCTCCTGACTCTCTAGATTTTCCTCTACAACGGCCCTATGTGGGTGCCTCTTCCCTGCACCCCCAATCCTTCCATTCCTGCCCGATTCTGCTTTTCAGTTTCCTTTTATGTGCTGTCATCCTCCATTAGAACATAAGCTCCTATAGGGCAAGGACCCGTATTTGTATTCTCAGCCCTTAGCACAGTGCCTGGTACAAGGTAAGCACTTAATAAATGCTTGTTGACTTGTATCAATCAGTGTAAGCTTCAACTCAGATTCTAATATTTAATTCATTACCCCACTCATCACATTTTCATCTCTCCTCTAGGTCTCCAAGAAAGCCTTTCCTGCTCTCCCATCCATCCCTTCATCTGAGAATCTTGGGTCACATTTCTTTAAAACAACTGAGGCCATTTTCCAAAAGCTTCCTCTTCTTCATCTCATATGACTAGTCATCTTCTCTCAAGATTTTCTTCTTTACCCATCTCACAGGAAGAGTTGGCTCCTCTTTTTGCCAAGGCAAACTCTTCTATATGTACCCTTGATCCCATCCCCATTCTGTTTTCTCCAAAAAGACTACCCCCCCACCCCCGTCCTCCCCACACAATCTCTCCTTATCTACAGGTACCTTTCTTGCTTCCTATAAACATGTTTATGTCTCCTCTATTCTTTAAAAAAAAAAAAAACTTACTTGATTTTGTCATCCTTGCTAGCTGTCATTCTGTATCTCAGGGCCTCAGTTTCTTCATTTGTAAAATGAGGGCAGTACTCTGGATGATCTCTAAGGTTCCTTCTAGCTCTAAAATAGTATTATTCAATTTTGATTGTCCTGACTGTCACATTAAAGTATAATAAACACATATAATGAATAATCGTGACTCTGGGATAGTTCTCCCATCTGATATCCCAACTACAGTATGAACTAGATCCCTAGGGCATATCACTGTATAACTATGTTAGAAGACCCATTTGGTTTGTGATGAAGAGTTTTCTATTAGTGTTCTGGAGCAGCTGTCCAGAAAAGATAATTTTGCATCTTTTCTGGCAATGCTTTTCAATTCACTGTGATAATGAAATATTTCTGTAGGCTTCCAGATGCTGGCTCAACTTGGGTAAGTCACCATAAGAATGTTTATATTTTTTGGCAAGCATTGCAAATGCTTTGTTTTTCAGGAAATTAGCAAGTTTTTCATATCCCCCTCTGCCTTCTCCCCCTTCCCAGGTTTATTTTCCTCCTATACAAGACTTACTTGAACAACAGAATACTACATACTTTCTTTAGTTAACACCTCAACACCTATAACTCAGGAACTTGAACCAAGAAAATACAGAATGAGAATACATTTATCAGTGCTCAAACTATCATATCACAAGTCACATTTCAACCTTACACTTGGGTCCAGGGATCTGATTCAATTCACTGTCGTGAGGTATTTATTAGATGCCCCTGGGGCACATATATGGAAGAGAAGGGCTTGCTATGTTCTCTTTTTCATGTATCTCTTTTGAGAGTGAGCTAAATTTTAGGCAGTATGGCAAAATCTTTTTATGGGAAATTTTGAAGTTCCCCTAAAAGGTGCTAAGCTAGGATGGAATTTATGCTGCCAACCAATGGCTACAGAGACTTGAAGCAAACTTGTTACATTGTGCCTAAGAAAATATTCATAAGAGGAAAGAACAATGTCTATTTAAACTTTTAATATAGTTCAGACCAAAGCTTTGTAATTTTAGGCACAATATTCATAAAAA